TTTGACATGATTAATGGGCTTTATGTATTTACCAAAAAAAGAAAGAAGGAAAGAATGGGCTTTATGGATTTTAAATGTTCGATTTTTTAGGTTAGGTACATTTTTTTCAGATTTATTTGAGAGAAAATGTATTAACAAGTTTTTTGCTCTATTAAGTTCACTTTAACTAAAACATTTTATTATGAGGTACAAAATTCAGATAACTCTTTATTTATATTACTTATTTACCCTCTCTTAAATAATGTATAATTTATTGATAATTTATTTTCTAATCAAATATGTAAATATTTGATTAGATTTTTTCATTCATTTGAATTTTGAACATTTATTCTTATTCTTTCATTCACTCTTCGCAATTTGTTCAAAATGTGTTCAAATTTTTGATTAACCGCAATTTTCTACCCTATTCTACCCTATTGATTGGCTAGTCGAAATAATCGAATAGAAATATGGAAGAGTTTTTTATTTTCTGATTAAATCGAGTAAGAATGTGGAATACCTATCAAATTTTTGCATTCCACCTAACTTACCCGCATAACTAAAAATCCTAATTCCCTAATGCCTTGTCGCCTCCTCAGGACCTCATTTGTCTCGCCTCCAGCCTCCTCATTTTGCCTCTCTCACCCCCTCTTTGAACACCCCTACCTGTTTTGTAGCTCGCCTTGTCTCGCCTCGTTGCTTTAGGGGTAGGAAATATGGTCTTACATCTTCCTGCCTGATACTTTGTGAAGAGAATTTTTTTCTTGATCTACTCTACTCGATTAAGTATAGTTTTTGGCACAGATTACATGATTTGTTATGATTTATTGAAGCATTTATGATATTTGATGTGTTTTATATGGTTTAAACCTAAAATAATTGTATTTGTATTTGTGCAACAATTTCGATGGATTGATGTTTATGCCTTGGGCATTCTTGTATTTTATTGTAATTGTTTTAGGTTTTAGTATTATTGGTTTATTGTATTGTTAAATTAGTACAGGTTATTTAATTGAATTGTTAAAATGATCCAAAAATTAATAACTACAAAACATGTTCACCCAATTTCCTACCTGATTAATTTGGACGAAAGTCGGATAAGAATACTACACTTGATTGGGTAGGGTAGTTCAAGAAAAAATTATTCTACAAAATATCGGGTAAGAATATGAAAAACCACATTTCCTACCTGTAGGGTAAGGTGAACACCCCTGATAATTTATTTTCTAATCAAATATGTAAAGATTTGATTAGATTTTATCATTCATTTGAATTTTGAACATTTATTCTTATTCTCTTACTCTCCCTTTCTCTCTTTCTCCCTATCCATTACTCTCTCTCCCCTATTTTCTCTCTCTCACTATCTCTCCCTATTTTTCTTTCCCACTGTGTATTTAAGATAAAATTACTCTCTCTTTTTCTCTCAATCCAAAGTCGGCATTCTTAAACGTCGTTATATTGATACTTCAAAAGAGATACAACGAAAAGATTAGAACTAATTGATAATTTATTTTTTTAAATATGTAAAAATTTGATATAATCGGATATCAACGTTACACCAAACAATTGCACCAACGTTACATCTTTGGTTTATTTTACTGGTATAATAATGTAGTGATACTGAATGGTGTAACTCTTTGATTTATTTAAATAACTGAATGATGCATTAAATATGGTGTCGTAATTTTATGTCCCTGTTTGGTGCAACTATTTGGTATATTAGAACGCATGTATAACTCTATAGTGTATTATAGCGCAAACTGATTGATGTAACGTTGATATTCGATTATGTCGAAGTAATTATTTGGTGTAACGTTGATATCCGATTATGTCAAATTTTTACGTATTTAAAAATAAAATAAATTATCAATCAGTTATGATTTCTTTGATGCATCTCTTTTGAAGTATCAATAAAACGACATTTAAGAATGTTGACTTAAGAGAGAGTAATTATGCTTTGAACACGCAGTGGACAAAGAAAATAGGGGAGAGAGGGGGGGGAAAAAAAAAGGGGAAAAGAGAGTAATAGCTTGCACCTTACACTGTTTTTTTTTTTTTTTTTTAACTTTTATTGAATGGCATTTTGGTAAGTTTTCTTAATCTATTTTATCTCAAATAAGTCTAAATTATTATATGGACTCAACGTTTTTCACTTAATTGTTCGAATAGAGTTTATTAGCCAGGCGATAAAGGGCACAAAATAAAGTTTTGGAGGATCGATGGATTCCAAAGCTGAAGGACTTCTTTCTGGCAGATAGAACCGGGATCAGGAGGATGGTTTAGCAAAGACCCTTAGCCGCAAACCCTGTTTATCCATTATTTTCTCTCAAGGTTCATATGCTTTGTTAAATCGTGAGTAATCATGTCATAATTTTCACTATGTTGTTCAAAGTTATTTTTGGTCGAGTTTTAAATCTCGTATTACCTTCGATATTATCAAAACAATCTTGCTCGCCAGTCCAATAATAGGCCTTTTTGTAAATATATATTTAAGTCACTTAATTGATTCTCTCTTAATTTATTTTTTATTTATGCTACTTCTACGATTTCACGGGCAATACCCTTAATTCTTTTATAAAAGTTTGTCAAGATATTTTGAGCTTTTGGTGGTAGTGGACGGTTTAGAAGTGTAGAAAACAGAAAACTTGATACCAACTATCCTTACCAAATCATGTGCTTATTGACCGACATAAGATAAGTGGGTTCAGCTCTTTTACAAGTTAGGTGCACAGTTCCATAACACACTCTTTTTTCTCCCCAACATTTGGGTACAGTGATGTAGGGTGTTAATCGAAGCGAGTTATTTGGGTTTGATTCAGATATGATTCGGTTTGAGCTCGAATTCGTGTTTTAAACGAACTGAGTTTAAATAATTTTTTTAGATTTGCTTAAAAAAATGAATTCGAAAGACTCAAATTCAATGTCGCAGAAGTCGGCTTGATCAACATGGAGTGATGGCAACTTTAAACCTATCTGCACATCACTCAAACCTGATTCCTTCAGAGCTGAAACTGAAAGTCAAGCAATTGAATCAATGAACCTTTTTGTTGCTAAATTTTTTGGTGGTGGGTATTGTCTTATTCACATTATAATTCGAACAATCTTCCGTCTTACCATGTGAGGGTGCCCTCTTTGTCTGTTCATTTTGTGATTGGGACAGAATCAAAAACAGACACAAAGGGACGTGGCTACGGTACCGAAATAAAAGATTTCGTACATTATTAAAATTAATTTATAATTTTTGATTTTATTTTGATTAATTTCAAACCATTGAATGTAAAATAATAAAATATTTAAAATAACAAGAATAAATAAAATTTACACGTATCATATTTTTATTAGACAAGGAAAGAGTCGTGAGGTGTCTGAAAACTATATTGATGATAACCATTCTTTTGTGGTCTTACCCCACCTGAACGCGAGAATGTACTGGGAAGTGGACCAATTTAGACTGGACAGCTCACACTATTGCATTTTCTCTTTCACGTTGGAGCATAGTGAAGGTTTCTACGACTATGAATCACATTCTGCGGTGTCCACCATTACTATTTCTCCATTGAATTTTTTCCTTGTTTGCTGAAATTCGGTCCAAAATAGTCGCACAATGAAAAAAAACCATGATCAATCTTTAAAATTCACATGATGAGATAGTGGAACCTTGGTCCTAGCTAACCCAAAGGCATAGAATTCACATGATGAGGTATTGGAAACCTTGGCCCTAGCTAACCCAAAGCCATAGGCATATTGGGTACTTATTTCATTATCACACAGATGAGCACACATACATATTTATATATACCATGTTCACATGCTACCACCATTAGGAACAAAATGGGTGCTAAAGGGTACAATATGAAATTATAATTCAAACTCGGAGACGAAATTAGTGGATTAGGGTTGATCATTTCTCAATACAAATCTGTAAATAACACGATCCATTAATTATGAATAATAAATGAGTTGAATTAGTGTCAAACACGAACAATACGAAATTCACATGATTAACATGTGTTAACTAATATTATAAAAATAAAATGCTAATTATTTGTTATTGTTTATTAAGTATTGACATAATTATTGTAAAAAAAAAATATTTTTACTCATTATTATTATTACGTTTATTAAGTTAAATTTTAATTTATAAAAAAATATATGAGCATGAATTCAATTAATTAATAATAGAATCTTAGACTTAAATCTTATCGTTAACTTCTTTATTCGCAGTTTATATGAATTAATATGAACACGAATCTGACACAAAAAAAAACAAGTCAATAGGTATGACACGAATAACAAATAGGTCAATCGGTACAACACAAATAGTTAAATTAGTTACATTTTTTTTTATGGGAAAATTACATTTTTTTTTATAACGTAACGAGAAAATTACATTTTTTTATGGGAGTTTCGTACATTAAATTGACATTTACTATGTTTTAAAGGTATGTCCTAAAAAATGGCCAATTCTGTTAGTTAGAAAAAGGGATGGAATTATTATAAAGTGGTATTTTTGAGTTAATTGTACCGAAAGTCTCTGAAATATAGAATTTATCTTATTTTGATTCATAATATTTTAATTATATTATTTTAATTTTTGAAATATTGAATAAATTTTTAGGTGGTTTCTCAAATACACAACATCTAAATTGCTAATTATTTTTAATCATAAACTTATTACGGGTTGAGCAGTTATTGGCCAAAATTTGAACAACTTATGATTAAAACTATATAATTTGTTTAACTCTTTGACCAAAATTTAAATAAAAGTTTGATCAAAAGTTGTCAAAATTATTTTTTTAGGTATTATGTGATAAATTTATAATAAAAAATTATTAATAATTTAGATATTGTGTGTTTGAGGGATCGTATAAAAATATATTTAATATTTCGTACTTTTAACGTTGAATTAACCCACCACTGTTATTGCCTCATACAGCTTACCCTACCACTGTCCTGACTGATTTTCTGCCTGCAAATTGATACACATCTTTTGTCATTTGGAGGAGATTTAGCTTTCCATTCTCACAAAGTCTTCAACCCCACCAAGCAACAATTTACCAACCACTCTCTCTCTCTCTCTCTCTCTCTCTCTATAGATATATATATCCTCGGAATACTCAAATCCAGTAGGCCAAACAAGTTGATTCATTTTCTTCTCTTACCTTTCTGTAAAGTTAACCTTGAAAGAGGGGAAATGGGTGATGAACCATCCACCACCAGCGCCGCCGCTAATAAGGGTAGTGAAGGCGGTGAGGTGTTCCGATTCATGATACATGTGGTTCGTGGGCGATGGTTCTCGCTTTTCGCCTCCTTTCTGATCATGGCTGGAGCTGGTGCTACGTATCTCTTTGGAGTCTACTCCAAAGACATAAAATCTTCTTTGGGATATGATCAAACAACCCTCAATCTGTTAGGCTTCTTCAAAGACCTTGGTGCCAATGTTGGGGTTCTCTCAGGACTTATTGCCGAGGTAAGTCCAACATGGTTTGTACTACTAATTGGCTCGGCAATGAACTTTGCAGGCTATTTCATGATATGGCTCAGTGTCACTGGCAAAATTGCCAAGCCAAAAGTATGGCACATGTGTATGTACATATGCATAGGAGCCAATTCTCAGAACTTTGCAAACACTGGAGCTCTTGTCACTTCTGTGAGAAACTTCCCGGAGAGTCGTGGCGCCATGCTCGGGCTCTTGAAAGGCTTCACCGGATTAAGTGGTGCCATCATGACTCAAATTTACTTGGCTGTCTATGGAAATGATTCTAAGTCACTGATCCTTCTCATTGCGTGGCTCCCGGCTGCGTTATCGGTGGCGTTTGTCTACACAATCCGGGAAATGAAGGTTGCTAGGCAGCCTAATGAGCTCAGAGTGCTTTATCATTTCCTTTATATATCAATTGCACTAGCATTGTTTCTTATGGCCGTGACCATAGCACAAAAAGTGGTAGATTTTCCTCAAAGGGCTTATGCTGGAAGTGCCACTGTGGCCTGTGCCTTACTCTTTGTGCCTCTGTTTATAGCCATTCGAGAAGAATTAGTACCCTGGAACCAAATGAAACAGCCCTTCAGTCCCAAAATTACCATTGATAAACCTTTGCCTGTGGAGTCAAAACCAAGACCAACACCACAACCCCAATTTTCCAACCCTGAGCTAAAAGAGCAGCCCAAAACAACATCTTGTTTTTCTAATGTTTTCGACAAACCCGAGAGAGGGGAAGATTACACCATTTTGCAAGCACTTCTAAGCACAGACATGCTGATTTTATTCCTTGCAACATTTTGTGGACTTGGGTCTAGCTTGACTGCTGTCGATAACTTGGGGCAGATAGGAGAGTCTTTGGGATATCCAACAAAAACCATAAAGTCCTTTGTGTCTCTCCTAAGCATATGGAATTACTTTGGGAGGATCTTCTCAGGATTTGTCTCTGACAGCCTTCTTGCCAAGTACAAAATTCCAAGGCCTCTGATGATGACACTAGTCCTTTTCCTTTCTTGCATTGGCCTCCTCCTCATCGCCTTTCCATTTCCTGGTTCAGTTTACGCGGCATCAGTGATCATCGGGTTCTCATTTGGTGCACAATTGCCATTAATTTTTGCAATAATTTCCGAGTTGTTTGGCCTAAAGTACTATTCAACATTGTTCAATTGTGGACAATTGGCAAGTCCCCTCGGGTCATACATACTAAATGTGAAGGTCACAGGACCTCTTTATGATAGAGAGGCATTGAAACAGCTTACAAAGAAAGGTTTGAATAGGTCATCAGTGAAGGAATTGATTTGCATTGGTAAACAGTGTTATAGGCTTCCTTTCATAATATTGGCTAGTGTTACATGCTTTGGAGCACTGTCTTCACTGATTTTGGTTGCGAGAACTCGAGAATTCTACAAAGGGGACATTTATAAGAAGTTCAAAGAAGCAGCAGGGCCGCCAGAGGAAGTACCCATGGGGGAGAAACAACTATAGAGGAAGAAGGAAGCTAAAGAAAATGCAGGATGAAACCATTTTGGAAGTTGTTTTCTTGTTTTTGGAAACAAAGATTAGCTTCTGAAATTTGAATTTGCTCTGTTTCTTGGGGAAAGCATATAATGTGTTGTGGCTTTCCTACAATTGGAATGTAATGAAAGGAAATGTGGAATTCAGAACTGGTTGCTCTTGATTTTTCTGTTTCCTGTTTTACGCAATATGAATTGCACCAAAAATTTTAAGCTCTCGATCAACTCGTGAAATGGCAGCAGCTTGGTCCTTGGTCTTTGTAAAACACCCACATGAATACCAAATGTTTGATCTTTTGTGAAGAAAATGGATTGTGGGTGAGAGCATCTCCGGTCAAATTTAAATTTGAGTAAAAAACTCTCCAAAACTTTCTCTATCTTATATCGAAACTTATACCAAATTAATAGAGATTCAAACTTAGACCCAAATTAAGGGAGACTCAAAACTTAAACCCAAAAATTTAACGGTAAAAAATCTAATTCTCTCTTCTCCTCTAGCTGCTTTACTCTTCTCCTCTCTGCAGCATCCTGAAGTCCATTTTGAAAAGTGATTAAATTTGAAACCGTTAGATTAGCAAAGGACAAACTCTTAACCACTACTAAAGACTTTAAAACCAACATCACTGAGTCAATCATTGTGATGTTGATGTGGAACTTAAAATGGGCTAGCCTATTTATATAGATTTGCAAACACGATAGTTCTCAATAGAATGTTGTAAATATATAATGAGTTGGATTAGGTAGTCAAAGAATTCAGAGTAAAAAAGGGGTTTACAGGGAAAAATGATAGGAAAGGTCGTGGGAAAAAAATTAATTTTTTTTAAAAAAATTTATCCATTCCAAATTAAATTTTTTATCCATTTTTTTACTCAAATTTGGATAAAGATTTGAGTCTACTTTATAAATCATCTAAGAGAATTAGGTATGATTTGTGGTGGTGGGATCCTATGTTGATGTGAAGACAATTGTATAATTAAAGCATAATTCACCATTAATCTAAATGGATAGTTCAAGTGATAATAAAAATTAATTATAAACTTAAATGTCCTGCGTTCGAATCTAGGCAATTCTTTGAAGTCAGACCATAGAAGGATTTATCCCTCATAAATACTATAATCCAAGCATAGATTACATGTTTTTGATCGGATTGAAGAGAAAATTAATCGAGATACATGTATGATAGGGCAAATACTCCTAATAGTTGAAATGAAAAGAAAAAAAAAATACCAATTGCACAATTTTGGGTTCAATCGAATTGAACTTGCCTTTCATTCCTAATTTTTTAATTTGAGAATAAAACTTCAATCTAAAAAATAAACATAGAGAATTGAAAACTAATTTTCAACTCGAATTGAACTCAAATTTTGAATCCGACTTTGCTAACTTCAACTTGAGTTGAATGCCTCAAGTTCGGGTTGGTATTATTAAACAAATTAAATTGTGGCCGAATTGACCTCTCAATCCTTCCAAGTTTAGCTTGGCGGTGTTTCATCCCGAGTTATATTTACTATTATAACCATATATATTTATTCTCTGGTCTTCTTTTTCGGATAAAAAAAAAAGTTAAAAAACCAAAAAACAAAGGCCTAACAATGGACCTTCCTTGACCCATCCATTGGGCTCAAAAAAGCCAGTCTACGAAGCCCACCAAGCGGTGTACGGTTTAGTTTTGCATCGATATCATGAGCAGCCCAACCCAATACCAATATCTATAAGTACGACATCCTTGTCCAAGTGACTTGAAGTGCTTTCCCTGTTTCCCAAAATTGGCGCTTCTTTCTCTCTCTCCAGAACCTGAAAATCTGTACACACGTCTGAATCCAAATATATAGAGAAAGAGAGTGCGTGTATGTGGAGATGATGGATATGGATGGACCGCTTGACTTCGAGTCAGAAGATCCAATTCTAAGTTCGCCTACTATCACCAAGAGAAGGTTTGTTTCGCCGATTTCATGGCTGTTATCTTTTCAATCCGTTTAGTAAATAAATTTTTCTTCTTCTTTTCAATGCTAATTTTTGTTTGGAAGTTGGAGTGTTCTGGTTTCACTGTCTGAAGAATTGAAACTTGTCTTACGAACTCTATCAACTGTTATAGTAGCCGCTGTGTGTGTGTTTGTGTTTGCGATGGACTTAGAGAAAATAGATTGAACCTACTGTAGTTTCAGAGTTGTTGATTGTGTATATTGGCATCCTTCACCTGTAAACCATATGATTATCTATTTATGTACGCTATGCATCCTCATAATCTATTGGTTTTGCAACATTATATGTTTGGCACTGAAAACAGTCTCAAGTATGTTTAGCGAGGGCAAATTGTTGAATAGATCTTTACAAAAATAAATTAACTTGAGCATTGATAGTGATGAGGGTGTATGGATTGCAATTCTACAAACTTGTCCTCCTCTGTTTTATCATCAAAAGCTAGTAAAGAAACTATTTGCACCATCATAGTTTGATATTTGCTTTGGGTGACTAGATTGCAGAGGCTTATTTATTTATACCATTTGATTAAGTCATTTGTTATAGTATTCATGCATACGCCATCCCCTTCTCAGTACCTTCTTAGTTGGTTGTAACCATAGTCAGTTACCTGTTTATTTTTGAACTATAACATTTTGAAGCCACCACCTCATTCACAACTACAAGAAATATCAGATACCAAAAAATGTACTTACTTATCACGCTTTTGCTTCAACTATATCCACAACGTCTTGTTATATGATATGTTCATCATGTGACTTTTGCTTTCTACTGGTTCAAAATTGAGTAGGTTCCTCATATATAGTTTTAACTAATTTTTATCATTATCTCCTCAAAAAAAAACTCTTGCTCCTTTTTCACATCCATCCAAGGCATGCACAATCTTGAAAGATTCTGGGGCTTGGAACTTTGACTTGCCAAAACAAGGGTCTCTTGAAAGGTAAAACATTGCTTATACATAGTGATCTGCTTGGGAGAAAGGTGAACTCTGAGTGTGCAGCCAGTACATTTGTGACATAATGCAGAAGCAGCATAATGAAAATTAGAACAGATATTTGGTTATTTTTATAAGTGTTTGAACGTAGAGAACAAAACATATCAAGGCAGTTCTGTCGAAAGCCTTGTTGAATCAGTTTATCTGCTGAACCCTGAGCTAGTTGTCATTTAATCTTGCAAAGACCGCTAGTATAAAAGCGCCTTGGCGTGTTTTCAAATGCTTTGCGAGTGTGGTGCTTCTCTTTGAAATTTCACATGTTAGCATTGTCATTTTGTTGTGGGAGATAGTGATGATAATATGGAAGGACCTCTTGATTTCAAGTCTGAAGACTGACTTGTTAGTTCACCTGTCACTTTTAAAGAGAGTTTCTTTTTTATGTATATGATGTTGGATACCCAGGGCCAGAAAAATACCACAAACAAGATAAAAACAAAGAGGATATCTCTATTTCTCTTTGAAAATAAAATACAAGAATTATTACAAAAATTCTCACTGAGATCTCTCCCGAATCTCTCTCTCTCTCAGTTTCTTCCTCACTGAACTTGAACCATGCCATTTGCCTTCACTAAGCTTCCTATTTATAGCGAGTTTTCTGGCCAAATAAGTCAAGGAGAAGGTAACACAATTTAAAACTTGGGCAAGCTTTGTCAAAGCTTCACCTGTCCACCGCCAACCAGTCCACCGGCGAGTTGTCCATAGGGTGGCTACTGGCATGAGCTACTGGGTAGTAGATTCAGCTACTGGGTAGCCTTCTGATGGAGTTGGACCTTCAATTCTCCCCCTCCAGAACCATCAGAAGAGAATGTAATTAGACGTTCATCCCGGCTATGTCTCTGCACAGCTTAAGCTTCTCCCGAGTGACGACCTTTGTCAACATGTCTGCTGGATTCTCCTTTGTGTGAATCTTCACTAGTTTCAATAACTGTTGCTTCATCACTTTGTGTATCCAATGATAGCGAATATTAATATGCTTCGTCCGGGAATGGTACATTGAGTTCTTGCTCAAGTCCAGAGCACTTTGACTATCGCAATGCACCTTGTATTCCTTCTGCTTAATACCTAGTTCTTGGAGAAACCGTTTTAACCACAATATTTCCTTACCAGCTTCTGCTGCTGCAATATACTCTACCTCTGTCGTGGATAAAGCTATGCACTTCTGCAACTTTGACTGCCATGACACAGCTTCCCCTATAAAAGTGTACAAAAATCCTGATGTAGATTTTCTACCATCAAGATCTCCTGTCATATCTGAATCTGTATAGCCTTCCAAAACTAGTTCGACTCCCCCGTAACACAGACATATCTTCGATGTACCCTTAAGGTATCCGAGAATCCACTTGACCGCCTCCCAGTGTTCTTTCCCTGGATTGGAAAGTAATCTGCTCACCATACCCACTGCATGGGCAATATCTGGCCTTGTACACACCATTGCATACATTAGACTCCCAACTGCTGAAGAGTATGGAATTAGTGTCATATCTTCTATCTCCTTTGATGAGGGACATAAATTCTTACTCAGCTTGAAATAATTAGCTAGTGGGATGCTGACTGGCTTGGCAGTATCCATGTTGAATCTCTGGATCACCCGTTCAACATATTTCTCCTGTGATAGTCACAATTTCTTGGTTTTCCTATCACGAACAATCTGGATGCCTAATATCTGCTGAGCTGGGCCTAAGTCCTTCATGTCAAAGGACTTGGACAATTCCTTCTTAAACTGGCTAATCTTTATTACATCCTTTCCGACGATCAACATGTCGTCAACATAAAGTAGGAGTGCAACGAAATTGTCATCCGAGAATCTCTGAACGTAAACACACTGATTTGCAGCAGTCCTCTTGTAGCCTTGACCCACCATGAATGAGTCAAATTTCTTATACCACTGTCGGGGCGCTTGTTTGAGGCCGTATAGACTCTTCTTCAACTTGCAGACCAGATTTTCCTTTCTTGGAACTTCGAAACCTTTCGGTTGTTCTATATAGATTTCTTCATTCAGTTCTCCATGAAGAAATGTAGTTTTCACGTCCATTTGTTCAAGCTCTAAGTTTAAACTGGCTACTAATCCGAGAATGACTCGAATTGAGGTCATCTTAACAACTGGTGAGAAAATCTCGTCAAAGTCAATACCTTTCTTCTGTTGGAATCCTTTAACGACCAATTGAGCTTTATACTTCACCAATTTTCCACTGCCATCTTTTTTCAGCTTGAACACCCATTTATTCCTCAGTACTTTCTTGCCTTTTGGAAGTTTCACAAGCTCATAGATTTGATTTGACTGCAAGGAATCCATCTCATCCTGCATGGTTTGCTTCCACTTGTCTTTATCCGTATGAGCTTGTGCCTCTTGGAAGCTCTCCGGCTCCCCTTCATCAGTAAGCAGAATATAGTCTGACTCTGGATATTTACTCGACGGAATGCATCCTCTTTCGGATCTTCGTGATTGAGGCTCGTCAGCTATATGAGGTACACCATCCTCTGGTTGCTATGATGGTCTTGCAACATTTGGTGGAGGGGGTTGTAGCTCCCCCTGCTCAACACCTTCATTATCATCTTGCTCTGCTTCTGTACTTTCATCCTGCACTTTGTCATTATTTGTGGAGAACTGTAATGGTGGGTGCAGGGTTTGAAACAATTTCCTGTGCACTGGAACTAGAACTGCTGGACTTTGTGGGATTTTCAAAATCCTCATATGCCTGGTTTTCATGGAACACCACGTCTCTGCTCCTGATGATCCAAATCTCTTCTTCATCTCCGTAGCCTATAAAGATGCACAGAGTGGTCTTGACGTCAAGTTTCTGCCTTTGCTCCTTGGATACATGTGCAAATGCTTTGCACCCAAAAATTCTTAAGTGAGAATAGGTAGGATTCCTACCAGACCACACCTTCTCCGGAATATCAAAATTTAATGGTACTGACGGTGATCTGTTTATCAGATAACAGGCGGTACGAACAGCTTCACCCCAGAATGGCTTTGACAGCTTTGTCATACTGAGCATGCATCGAGCTCTTTCCATAATTGTTCGATTCATCCTTTCCGCTACTCCATTGTGCAGTGGGGTACGTGGAACAGTCTTCTCATGTCTGATACCATAATTTCCACAGTATGCTTCAAACTCTCTAGAAGCATATTCGCCTCCATTGTCTGTTCGGAGACATTTTAGCTTCGTTCCTGTTTCTCGCTCTACCATGGCATGGAATCTTTTGAAGCATTCGTGTACTTGGTCCTTCGTCTTTAGGAAGTACACTCATACCTTCCGTGAAGCATCATCAATAAAGGTCAGAAAATATCTGTTGCCGCCCAATGATTCCACCTCTAGAGGAACGCAAATATCACAGTGTACCAGGCTTAACAACTCTGATCTCCTCTTCATAGAGGAAATGAACGAGATTCTATGTTGTTTACCAAACAAGGAATGATTACAAGGATTTAGTGCAACATCCTTGGCAATTGGGATGAGATTCTTCTTTGCCAAGGTAAACAATCCTTTTTCTCCTATGTGACCAAGTCTCTGGTGCCACAGATTTGGTGAAGCCTCATTTTCAACTGCATTGAGGTTGTCTGAGCAAACCTTCACATAGGTCTTGTAAAGTGTGCCACAAATATGTCCTCGGCCGACAACCAAGGCACCTTTCGTGAGCTTCCATGTGCCATTGCTGAAGTGGTTATCGTAGCCCTGTCTATCGAGGGCTATCCCAGAAAGTAGATTTAGTCGAAGGTCAGGCATGTGTCGGACATCTTTCAATACCAATGTACACCCAACATTTGTTTTTATTTGAATATCACCAATTCCCACGATCTTGGAAGAACTGGTGTTTCCCATCCTCACCGTACCAAAGTCTCTGGCTTTGTATGTCGAGAAAAAATCGCTGTGAGAAGTGGCGTGGTATGAAGCTGCAATATCTACCACCCATTCAGCGTCATGGTTGGAAAAATGAAGGCATGTCTCCTCATTGACAGAAAGGATAGCCACGTCCTCTACGAGAGTGACTAGTGTCTCTCCGTCCTGTTTCTTCGGCTGATTACTGCCTTGGCCTTGCTCTCGTAGCAACTTGCGGCAGTTTTTCTTCATGTGACCTTGCAAGCCACAATGGTAACACTTGTATGTAGGTCTTCCTCCGTCATTTGATCTCCTTGGATCTTGTGACTTTCCTCTACTCTTACTTCTTGCTCTTCCCCTGCCTCTGCTACCTCCTTGATGTCTGCCTCTGCTCTCAGTGACGAGGGCATTTGACTGGTCAATGCCAATATCTTTTCTCCTGGCCTCCTCATTGAATAGGGCATTCTTAACCATTGACATGGTAAGTTTGCTTCCTGGAGCCGAATTGCTGAGAGAGACTACCGACGTCTCTCAGCTGTCTGGTAGAGAACTGAGAAGTAAGAGAGCTTGTACTTCATCTTCCAGATTCAACTCTATTGATGATAATTGATTTATCAGACTCTGGAACTCACTAGTGTGCTCGGCAATTGAAGTTTCACTTTTTAACTTCAGATTCACAAACCGCCTCATCAAAAGGGCTTTATTCCGAGCAGTCTTGGTCTGGTACATGTCTTCCAGCTTCTTCCAGAGGATATGTGCATTAGTCTCTTGTGCAATATGGTGGAATGCACTGTGGTCAATCCATTGCCTAATTTGACTGATGATTTTTCTATTTAGTTTCTTCCACTCCGTTTCTTTTGTCGGATCTGAATTTACACCTTCTGCCTCCAAGGGATCGTACAAGTCTTTACAACTTAGGAGATTTTCCATCCGAGGTCTCCAAAGTGTATAATTAGAGATAGTGAGTTTGATCATGGCTCCCAATTTTGATTCCTCTGTGGACATATTGAGTTTTTAGGCTCTAAATGTCTCAATCAAAAATTTTGGGATTGAATTTTGCAAAATGGAGTGCACCGTTACATCTGGAACAGTTGAAATAGCTGGGAAAGAGTCTTGGTTCACCAAAAATGGAGCTAAAATGAGCTCAGAATTGACTCAGAAAGTTTTTGGTAACTTAACAGAATATTCCGTTAAACTTGACGGAATATGCTGACAGTGACAGAATATTCCCTGGATGGAATATTCTCTAAGAATATTCTGTGGATGGAATATGCTTTAACTGAGATGGAATATGCTTTAACGAAATGGAATATTCCGTCGTCTTCAACCTTCCTCCGGTCACCGGTTCGGCGAACTTCCGGCAGAAACTTCGACGAGCTCTAGTGAGCTCCGATAGCAACTCCGGTGGCCGGTAAACTTTCCCGCGAACTTTCCGTCGAGAACTGTGAGAGCGCGTACAATGTCTGATTGATGCGAGGCCAATGGGGTTCAACTCGTTTCGACAAGAGGAATCCAACGGTACAATCAGAATTTGATTTTGAGTTTGTTTAGAACTCGTACGAACCAAAACAGTGAGTTAGAAAAATTTCTGGCGACCCAACCAAAGCTCTGATACCACTTGTTGGATACCCAGGGCCAGAAAAATACCACAAACAAGATATAAACAAAGAGGATATCTCTATTTCTCTCTGGAAATAAAATACAAGAATTATTACAAAAATTCTCACTAAGATCTCTCCCGATTCTCTCTCTCTCTGTTTCTTCCTCACTGAACTTGAACCATGCCATTTGCTTTCACTAAGCTTCCTATTTATAGGGAGTTTTCTAGCCAAATAAGTCAAGGAGAAGGGAATACAATTTAAAGTTTGAGCAAGCTTTGTCAAAACTTCACCTGTCCACCACCAACCAGTCCATAGGGTGGCTACTGGCATGAGCTACTGGGTAGCCTTCTGATGGAGTTGGACCTTCATATGAATTATCCCCGAGAGCATTTTCTTTCTTTACTTCAATCACTTTAAGATGCACAGCTAGCTACTTACAGATTTTCTCAGTGTTCTTACTATTATAGTTTCAGGGATTTTGCGGGTTTTATTGTTTTAATGCCTATAAAAAAATTGAAAATCATGAGGTGATCTACAGCATGTTTTACTCTTTAGTATATTTTGTGGCATACACCTCATGTGGTATCTCTTCTATGAATTAAACCACCAAATCACCTACTTTGCATAACATCTGGTGGAGTATGTCTACATGTATATGCGTTTTCTCATTAACCATGGGTACATGGATTAGGTGAACTAAATTTTCCCTTTTGCTTAATGTATCACTCCTTAATGAGCCCCCCCCCAAACAAAAAAAAAAGTCTCTCCTATGTATGGAAAATTAACAGCTTCCCACCCCCTACCACGCCTCCCACTTCTACACCAAGTCTCCAATATTATTATTCTTTGTGAAGTTACATGAATTCCTAAATCATAAGTTCAAGAACAACATATTGCATGTGAACTTGAATAATCATGGTTTTTATATTGTAAATGGTTTTAATTGGATTTTTTTTTTTATAATAATGAGATTTACAGGAAGAAGGTAATAGGTTTGGATGATCTTTTAAATGATTACTACAAAGAGAAAAGTAAAGTCATTGAGAGGGAATCCAAACGAGCGAAGGCACAACAAACCTACAATTCAGACGAGGATGAGGATGCCAGAGAAGTAGAATTGTCCCAATGTGTTAACAAATGCCAAGAACAGGCATATGTTTCTTCACCTTTGTTTTCTTTTAAGTTCTTTTTTTTTTTTTCTGAATTGAATTATTTTCATATGTAATCATTGCACTCTGTAGCCTTGAAAATGAACTTCATTTTGTAGATGGGTCGAATTGGTGGTGAGGATGAGATGTCCTTATGGGGTCTTCACGTTTTTGGAGATCAGGTTAAATTATTGAGCTAATAGGATTTTATTTCCTATTTGAAAATTTGACAATTTTGCATGGCGTCCTATTGTAATATATATTTCTTCCCTGTAACTTGCAGAAAACTTTGCCATCCTTGGTATTTCCTGAGCTTGCAAGTTGTCTGCTTTTGCAGTCTTTCATGAATCATGAGCTCAATATTCTGGTTGAGCTTAACACCCAGAGAGGTTTTTATTTTTGCTTAGTTTTACTTGCCTTCTGTATAAGGATGATATTTTCTTGGTGTTGTATCTGTCTCCTATCATGCTATTTTGCAACCAGCTTTTGGCAACCACATTTTAACAAGCGAGAAGCAATGCGTCTGGTTGAGGATTACAATTCGGTTATGTAATTATCATGCTGTTGCAGGAGAAACTTTCCTTGAAGGACTGCTCGTAGATGGCTGGCTCTTCAAATTGGTTTGTATGTGTGGCCTTGTAGAGAAGTCCATAGCAGTGTGGACCTTCAATTTGAGTGAGTTTCATGTTTTTCTCAGGCCATCTATTGAATGTTCCATTGATGTTTCATTGAGTGCTCCCATCTATGTTGTCAGTGGTATACTCATCAAAGGAAGTGCTGAGGACATCTGCTTGTGACTTTTGGTGTGCTATTCTCTCACCTAAAAATGAGGTTATCTTACTTTTGTTTCACTAGGGGACTACTGGAATCAAAGTTTTCCAGTGGCATATATCAGCGCAACACAAATTTCTTCTGACGCTATTTTCTAAGTCATTTTTGTTTATCTGTCATCATGCCTATTCAGTGTGACGTACTGCGTGTAAAAGTTGAGTGGTTACCTTCCTATTCTGAACTGAAAAGAGCTCTTGAAATATATGGCTTTCTGTTGGATTCATCTTCCAAATCTTTGTGCAACATGGAGATCGTCAGTGCAGGTAAGCACCTTCCTATCTCCCAATTGCAAGTTGTTCATGCATAGAACTTTGGTAGAAAGGATACGTTTGGTGGATCGATGTCCATCTATTACAGAGCATGTTTTCTTATAATATTAGTTGAGGGTCTATAAAGTGATTGGATTGCTAAGTGAGAGAGAGGCAGAGAACTAATAATTGCAAAGCACAACAGATGAGGAATGCAGTTTATGTCAGTATATTGAAGAACTGTTCTCTCTTTGATTGGCTAAAATTTCTTAGTAGGTCATAGATATTTCCATAATATCAATTTATGAATCTTAGTGGAATATTTATGATATTTGCTTTGATGGCTCATGGAATATTTATATCTACAGGGGTAATTAGCTGTGTTCAGTTAAGATAATACATTATTGAGTTTTCAATTGATCCTATACATCGTAACAAACCTGCGATAACGCAGATATGGCTGTCTAATGGTTGAAATGGGTAATATAGATGAGTGACACAGATTTGTCTAGGGTGGACATGTGTCAATTTATTCATGGTTCAGACTGGATTTTTGGAAATATTTTCTTGCATTCTTGTTTGATCTAATTTTTTTCAGGTTGATGCAGTTATATCACATATGATTTTGATGTGCATCTGCAACATTTTTTTGGTGCCTTCTTTTGTAGTTGTGTGATTATTATGGTTATGTGTTAGGATCTTATGTAACTCTTAATATTCATTTTCTAATTTTATCTCACCAAATGAGAGCTTGAATTTTATATAGATATTTATGGTTGGTGGTTCCCTTATGACTGCTTAATAATCTGTTAGATTCTGATTGTGCTGGACCACCTCAAAATATCAGAGCTTGGATCAAATATGTAGCTGTTTGTTGCCAAGTAAGGTATGTGGTACATGGAACTACCAGTTAGTACCATATTTTCAGTTGTAGATGTGGTGGGCCTGGGGGCACTCCTAAGATTTCCATTTTGGACTAGAGCAGAAGTTAGAATGCCATAGGCTCTGGTTAGCTTTAAGTGTATATGAGAAGTTCAAGATTTGGGAATCCTGGTTATTGCTACGACATTTCTTCTTATTCTTATTATTTTTTTCAGGAATTTGCATGAGATTTTCTCAACTTCAGAAGTAGAAGAATTGGTTGGCATGATTATCTGTCTCTTCTTAGATCGACAAATTTTAGGCCTCTCCGTGATTTTGTCCGAATGCTTGCTGTCAGTAATTAGATTCTTTACAGTTGATGAATGGAATGGCAGCTGTGAGAAAATTGCAAAATCTCTTGCTTGCAGGTCTGGTTTGATAATGCCACTTCTGATTTATTGAAGTTATTTTACAGAACCATTAGCTTTTGCTTTATCCATTAAGGGTATTGCTTATATAATGGTCTGGCTAATTTCTGCCAGTATGTAAAACTGTAGATGGTTTAATTATAGTTTTTCAGTCATCAAAAGCCAATGAGGCAAAAGTGAAAGAAGAAATGTGAAATTCTTAGAATATGGTTATGGGATCCTGGTCTACAACCCATTTCTGATTGGTTAGTGGTGAGTAAGAAGGTAGTACTTGGGTAATTATATGGTAATATAGTGTATTAGCATTAACTGACTGGCGTTAACTTAGACAAGTCTACTTCATAGTCTGTTGGTGCTGAGTAATGTGGCTAAACTGCTGGCATTGATATAAGTGGTGGTGTCTGTTAAGCACGAGAACGTATACTAAGTGCTCAAGAATGCATTTCCTGTTGTCCTCAATCGATATTTTGTCGTCCTTGGCAGCAAGCCTAGTTGAAAAAAATAATGCAATAATGTATTTCTTCTATTTTTTCTGTCATGGACTATCTTGTATGGGGAAATTTACACAATTATTACCTTGGTATAGTTGCGTACTTTTTTGTGGAAATATTAGCTATGATACATGCATTACTGACGACCAAGAATGGATGAGTAATGTTTTGTTGAATGTGCTAAAATAGTGAAAACTTGACAGCTGTATCACTCCTGTTTGTTGAAGACCTAGTAATGGCACCAGGAAGGTAGAGTGATTTGATGATAATGTGAGAGATTCAGGTAGGCCTAAAAAAACTTTGCACGAAATAGTAAAAAAGGATATGATGGCTCAGGTTTTAACAGAAAATATGACCTTTGATAGAGCACAATGGAGAAACAAAATTTATGTAGCCGAAGCCAAATGGTGAAATTAAGGTTTTGTTGGATTGAATTGAGTTGTATTGTATATTACTGTGTTACGGGGACTTAAAGATATATTTATTTTTTTGTAGTTTTAGGTGACATTTTCCAATTGATGTTCCCTTACCTTTTTCTGAGTTTAGCTCACAGTGGCATGTTTTTAATCTAGAGTACCTATTGACATCAATTGCTTGAGAACTGTGGAGAGCATTTCTGGAATCGATGCATGCAGTAAAGAACTCAGAAGTGCGGTGGCTTTCCAATTTCTTATAACTTGTTTTGGGAACAAGGTAGCCCTTATCTTTCCGTCATATCAGCTTTAGTATGTATATTGTACCTTAGCATTGCTCTAAATAACTCAGAACAAAAACTCTTTTCCATGTTTTGTATGCAAAAGCTAAATGCTTTCACAAAGAGAGAGATATCACCTTTTCAGGTTTTTAAGTAGGAAAAGTCCATATTGTATGCAAAGATGAAGTCAATTATTATGATGCTGTTCACAGAAATGGTGAACACGAGCGATTGCAACTGAATGGCTTCCTTACTATAAAGATTCATTTATCTTCATTGCAAATGCAAAGCTGATTGATTGCAGAAGCCTGGTTGACACACTGCTTAAATTCCCACTTTTTCCTGCCAAGTTAATACGAATTTACATTTATAGGCTTCCGTTTCTTCCCTGCAGGACCTTGATGCAGAGGAGGTCCTGAGATTGCTAATCTCCGTTAATGTCAAAGACAAAAGTTGTGATCTTTTTAAAGTGTATATTCATTTGTGTCTCACGGAGAATTGGCTTTTATCTAATCCCATGTTCAAAAGCAAACCAGTGATATATGAGATGTGGGGTGTTTACCTCCGAAACTGTTCTTGCCAAATCGGCAGCACAGATTTGAGGTCTTTTGCATCAAAGGTAAGCAATTAGCTCTCTTTTTTACCTCTCTGTACTGTGATTAGTGGTTTAATCAATCTTTTACCGCTGCAGGTTCGTAGTAAAGCTTCATATCTTCTTCAAGGCAATGCCAACAAATGATTGGTGTTGAAGTACGTACCTTTTAAGCCGTTCATTACCTTTTGATAGTGCTGTTACTCCACATCAACTTACAGAGCCTGCATGACACTATTTACTGATTGGTTATAGTACAAACTTACTTGCAAATTGCAAGCACTCAGCTAAATTGAGCTGTGATGCAAGGGGTGGTTTAGTGGTCTAGTATGCCATTGTGGCTAGTTCACTGGCAAATGACATAAGCTATTGTTTTCTTGGTATTTTATGCTAGCAATGGTTGACTAGTTGGTTCTAAGGATTATGAGTATTCACATGAAATACAGTATTTGCAAGGGAAGTTCAAAGGGAAAATCAGTTCAAACACACAAAGTGAGAGACCTAGTGGTGGGCTTCAGATCAGATCAACCTTTTTTTTTGTCGAGGCATGCACTAAAGCATCTGTCAGTTTGCCACTGGCCATGATTCTAATGAAGTGGCATGCTACTCATGCATCTTGTTCTGTTAGTTTTTGAAAATGAATCTTGTCTGGTGTGTTTTAGTTGATATGTATGCCTTTGAATTTCTGGGCAAGGCTTTTGTATAATGGGCGCCAAAAACTACTACGGTAATGTTGGGAATTACAGCCGATCATGATGTATATGGCAAGTACTCAATTGCAGAAGTTTAGTTGTGTCAATCTCCTTTCTCTCCTGTATTCTATTTGTGGTTCTTTCCTTACAAATGTGGGGAGGGTGAGAGTTGAAGCCCACCATCATTCTTCAGTTCAAAGAGCACAAAATAGTACTTGTTTGAGAGTCATACTTTTGTCAAAGATCACGACATGATGTTTGATGTGCTCTGGATGGCGAGAGTTTATGTTGTTCATTATTAGTTGCTTAATATTTGAAGTTGTCGTGTTCCTTATAGTTGTCGTATTTTTACTTTGTCTCTGCTTTGAACATGGGTCGGCTACTATTAGACCAGAGCCCCGACCTGTATATATACTGCACAGATCATTGTGATGAGTTGAGAAAAAAACCACCCACATCTGCAGTAGGAAGGAAGAAGATATACAGAAAACCTGGGTGTAAGGAATTCAGAGATTGTAGGACATTTTGGCGAGGGAGGTTGTCATGTTGCTGGTTGTTTGGCTATTATTGAATGCAAATGAAAATGCCTTCTTCTTTGGTGTTCATTCAGTCATTTTATTTTCAATCCTTCTTCGCCCTTTTTTTAGTAGTTCTTCAATCAACCGAGGAAAGGGTCTTAGAGACCATGTTTTCTAATCCAAAAGGTCACTTTTATGACTTGAATGGATCAAGAAAGAAGTAGGATCTCTTAAAAGGATCCTTTTTGGGGGCTTGATTTTGAAGCATAGTTTTTCACTCTATTTTCAACTTTATATGATGATATCAAAAATTGTAGTTCAGATTTAACAAAGAGCAGTTTGATATAGTCGATATTCCTTCAGTAATTCATCTGACCTAAAATACACAACTTTAACTCATTCAAGAAGGCAATGTAACTCAGACCTAGCTAGGACAACTGGAGAATCGTCGTGAGGAGAAGTGGGGTTATGAAGTTTACCCTGGACATTAAGCCTATGCCTCAAAGAATGTTACCTCACTGTTTTTAGAAGTTCATGTGGTGCTCGAGAAGATTATCTCTAACGGCCAAATATACTCCAATGATTTTAACAGATTTGGGGGACAACAACCCGCATCCTTGTATAAATAGGAGGGATTGAAACCTTCTTCCTCAAACAATAGACAACAAAAAGAGTAAGAAGTTCTATTATAGTAGATTAGACAAGTTCTTCAACTGGTAAACTATTTATTTACCTTGTGTTATCTATTCTTTTGTTGAGTTATTCTATCACACACACCATACGCTAAAAATTGAGTTCACGCAATTACCCCCACTCTTAAAAAGTGTTAAAGAGACTCTTTTGTTTCACTTATGAATCACTCGCTATTGAGTCTTCTACATAACTCACAATTTGTTTGGTTAGAAATTCTCATATTTTTTAATTATTCACACCATCAATATATATAACTAGGAGTGGAGCTAGAGAATATCTCTCTTGCAAGGCTACGATGTTTTTAAGATTGAAATTTTAGGTCCGGCATTCATTAGTTTTTGCTCTTTCCTCGCCCACTGCAATTTTTTTTTTTTTTTCAGCTCTTCCTCTGCCTGGTTGATGAAACAATAAATGTACGATACCCTTATCTGTACTCACAGTGTTCTCTGTACCTATAGCTCCTGCAAATGATGGTTATGCAATGCAAAATGACTAAACCTTGGTGTTCAAAGATTCGTTTTTTTTTTAACAGTTCTTCTTTTTGCTTATGCGCTGTGTAAATGATGGGAAAAGGAAAACAATGATGTTGGTTCTTGAGCTAAATCAACCCAGCTCCAACGATCATGAGGGGTTTATTTGTAAGGGCCCAATCGTTTGTTTTTGCAGTACCCCATCAAATAACTTTAGAGTGTAATTGTTACAATTGATTTTTATTTTTATTTATTTTTTTTTTTGGGGGTTGTTCAACTAAAAAAATAGAAATTGCCGCATTGGTAGGGTAGGAAGAAGGGGCGGCTGGGCTGCCTTTTCCATCAATTATTATTAAACATATTTTTTTCAAATCTAACTCGAATTCTAGAAAATGACATAAATTTAGGAGCTGTCGGTAAAATTCATTCTATTTTTCACTATTAATATATGAATTTTATTAATATTAAATGACGAATACTGTGCCATGCCAATAGAGATTTAGTATAATAATTTGATAAGCATAAATGTATTAAATTAAATAACTATTCTACAACTTCCAATTTAATTTTGGTATGAATTGACGACCTACCTAAAAATAGAAAGGGAGTAGAGCCTATTATTCGGTTCTGACCCCACCGTTCCTTGTCCAAAGGATTCTCTATTTTTTCTCCGTTGATGGGACCCACACGGTTTTTAACCAAAAGTAGGTTCTATTTATTTATTTATTTCTGGTTCCCACACAACAGCCATTAGCCGTTGGAACCCTTCTAACTATGGTGCTCCATATAATATATACAAAACTTCTAACGCTACACAATCATAGTTTACGTGTAGAGATTCTATTTCATTGTTTTTCGGTGTAACGCTAAGACATATTCAAATTAATTTATGTATATTTTAATTAATTTTTTCTTTAATTCAGTTAAAAGAAGTTCGTTCACATTGGAATTAGAGTGTTCATAAGAGATAAATTTCTCGTAATATAATGTAAAAGAATTGTCAAAATTCGAATTTAAAATATTTACATTTACAATTCATTTTTGTTATCAGTTGAGTTAACTCCACTGTTGTCAATAAATTCTTGGTCTTTGTTTGCAATTATATTGACATATTTAAATATTTTTGGTAGCCCCACAGATAATTTAATGAATTAGAGTTATCCCTGTGGTTGTTAGAAACTTGTTGGAGTACAAAGTAGAAAGAATCTTTTAAGTCTTGGACCCATTTTAGGAAAATTGCCAAAAGAGAGTCTTTTTTGAAAATCTCATCCACTTGCAAGCTTGCCTTTGCAGCATTTTTTTTTTTTTTTCTATTTGGTAATTTAACACCTCTTCACTTTCGAAAATAGTCACATAATTCTCGTGTAGTTTGTAGAGTATAACGCACAATCTCACCACCATTGCATCTCAGCCCATAAGTATATTTCCACCGTAGCGTCTCTGTGCATACACGTTCTTACACAATATAAACACAAGAACAGATCTCTTCTGTAGTGAACACGAGTCTGTCAGTCAAGTGGTCAATATTACTACTTGGAATAGATTGCGAGGGCCGAAGGTGACCTATGAAGTGGTAATGAATTGTTTTTAGGGGTCGCCTGACTGGTTCTGGGAGGCTATGGGAGGTTCCTGTAACAGAGAAAAATAGGTTAGAGGGGCGCCAGAATATTTTTCGGCGTATCCCCTCTACGATCAAATCAGTTCTTTAAGAAAGGAGAAAAAGAAAACATTATATGGTTCTCATAAAGGGTTTTTTGCGTACCTTTTTAATGTGTTTGTGATGACTATTTATACCTCACAAAATTCATTATTGTTGACAGCATAGCTAATAGGTAATCATTAGAGGTGGACAGTGTGCACGCTAATTTCTATGAGAAATGTCCTCATCCTTAACTGTTCAGGACCCCAAACAACCAATGCTTTCTCCTCGGTCTGCCAAGTGTTTAATGACCTTCTCTTGGCAGGGATATATTAAATGTCCAGGCATAGGAACATTTATTACCTTTCACTTCCAAGCTCTTATTCATAAAATGTTGTCTCATCGAGTGAATGATGCATTAAATGTCTGACTTCCCAAGCCGTGTGTCAGCAAGGACATTCTGATTTTTTTGTCTCTGACCTGACAAAATATGTCACGTACCCATTTCCCTTTGGTTGAGCCTTCTGCTTCCTTGTGCCTCTTGACACCATTTGAGTAGCACGATGTTGTGATGGTTAGTAACATGTCAATCAATAGCCCTTGTAGGAGCAGAAACGTCTCGTGGACTAGCATGATTAGGGATCGATGTGCCCAAACTGATCAAGGGATACGTGTCGGTCCATGGCGTATTTGGGATCCTTGATCCCTGCGAATAGTACCCTCGGGGAAGGGGATTATGGACCGACGAACATGTGTCGGGATCACAGCGGAAAGTCTCCATTGACGCCGAGTACACGTCTCATCATCTGAGAGTGTCTGAAAATGTCCCATCAATTGCCCCGTAGCCTTCGATCTTCTGACGCCGAGGACATGCGTCGTAAGAAGATGAAAGGTTCTGCAACCCCCCAATAATTGCTTCCAGCCGTTTTTCGCTACTTAGGAGGTCATGCGTATTAAATGCGCCTCTTCGTGCTTTCTGCCCAATGATGGGGACGGACACTATATAAATAGGCTTTCTTTCTCTTTCCCACACTTTTACCATTTCGAACTCTCAGAGATCTTTCGCTTAAAACTTCGCCGGAGAGCCCCTTTGTCATATCGTCTAACAATCAGTCATCACCGGAGTTTTAGACCAACAAATCCCCTCTTGCTTTTGAACCTTCTTGAGAAAGGAACCACTCAAAGTCTTTAAGAAATCTTCGTTCGCATTCTAGTGAGTCCTTGCACCCTCTTTCTTTCCGTCCTTCTAGGTTGCTTTTCATTTTTCGGTAATCGGAGGTGTTTCTGGTTGTGATCGTTTGACCAACCCTTAGGGGACCTCTTGGGGTTCTTTGTCGAAAAACCCTTTTTCCTTCCTCCCCCCTCTTTTATTAAAGATGCCTCGACGCCTCGATGCCGTCGAGACCCCCCAGGCTAGTTCCTCGAGGCCAGGAAAATACAAAGTGAAAGGAGACTAGCAGATCAATAGGTTTAGGGCCCGATATCACATCCCCTAAAACATAGGTATAGAAGAGTACGACCCAGTTTTGCATAATTGTAATCTCGGGGCAGAGGATGAGATGCTCTTTTACACTAAAGCAATCATAGAGGGTGAAATTAGGTTTCCTCTGCCTCCTCTACTCCTCTAGTTCCTCTCCCACTTTAACCTCTTTCTAGGGGAGTGTTGTCTCAATGTCTTTAGGATAATAATGGGGGTCCTAGAGCTTAATAACCACCTCAGGATAAACGTTGGACTCAAAGATATCCTTTTTTGCTACTCCTTGTTGAGGGTCATGCCCCAACAAAACTTCTACCTCAAAGCTAGGGATTCATCCATGTACTTTGTAACCCACCTCCCTGATTCGGACAAAGGGTACAAGGATGACCTTTTGATCTTCAGTGGATCTTGGGAGCGGGGAACCGATCCCGAGTACGATGGTCCGAGGTGCCCTCTTGAATGGGAAACGACAAGTACGTCAGCTTTTTTGAGTCTAATTTTTTGATGTCTTTGGAATATTTTGCAAG